TACGTCGACGACACTTTCATCATTGTCAAAAATGAAGAAAATCTAGACGACATCTTAAATTCCTTAACAACTGCCACCCTGCGATTCAGTTTATGTTAGAGAAAGAGTCTAACTCGCAAATATCCTTTCTTGACGTTCAACTAACAAGACGAGAACAGGATGGAACACTGAAAAGATCTATCTACAGAAAGTCGACGTGGAACGGACAGCTTACTAACTTTCACAGTTGGGTACCCCTATACACCAAACGAAACCTGATCTGTTCACTCAGCTACAGAGTTCGCAGAATCTGCATCCCGGATACCATAGAAAATTAACTGGACAGTCTCAAGAGAAACCTCGTCGAGAATTGTTATCCAGAACGATTTATCGCAAAATCTATGAATCCTAAACCACAAAAGCCGCCCATGCTTAGCGTCCCGAAAAAACTACTCTACATGAACCTTCAAATCAATATAGATTCATTTGCGGAAACACTGAAAAATCGACTGTCGCGTTCACTTAAGAAGACCTTCTTCGCAGCTGAATTACGATTAACCTTCTCTACAAAACCTATGATTCATGTGAACGTGAAGGATAAGCTACCACTGCTGGCCTCATCAATGTGTATTTATCAATTCACCTGCTCGTTTGGAGCCAAGTGTGCCGGCCATACCCAGCGTTCGCTATCCAAATGTATCACCGAACACTTACCAGCATGGTTTTACAAAGCAGAAAAACGATGCCCCCATGCAGCTCTGTCTTGTAACACCTAATAGATTCCGGACACCAAGCTACACCTCAAACAAACTTCAAAGTCGTCTACGGAATACGAAGCAGTCTTCCTAAAGGTGTACGAATCGGACTTCTTGAAACTGCAGAAGCAATGGCAATTCACCTGCTAAGCCCTGAACTCTGCATACAGAAGGAGATCGTTCAGCCACTACACTTGCAGTGGACGTCATCCTATAGTAGTCAATCTGTCAGTCAGTCACTAGTGAGCATCAGATTAACTCATACTTGAAAATTATTCCATTTTGCGTATTACCAGTGCACTCGAATACATAGCAAGAATTCGTGTGATTTGAACAATGATAGAATTCTTTGAGTTGAGTTAAACTAGGTGTACACCAATGATGACCTCGACCGTAAACAAGCGAAACGGCACGTCAGGTGTTCAGGTCACCTCATTTTGGCTAGCAAGCACTACAATTTAAAGTGAGTAGCATCCAATGTATCATTGATATATAGGTTCAATATTTGACCGAACAAATAAAAGAGAAAACACGAATCTAATATTAAATTGATGAAGTCTATGGGACAAACAGTGTACATAAAGCTACCTTCCCCATATGGGTGATCATAAAAGCTTGATAACTCCACAACGGTTGAACACTGTGATTAAAAAGACTTTTTATACAGCTGAGATCATCAAAATTTAGCATGTGAAATCGATATATCCATCTAAGCCCTTTGAACATGCGAAAAATGATGTCACAGCCCACTGTATTTACCAATTTGAATGTATGTGAGGACACACATACTTAGGGAAGAACTCATTGATCTCTGCAAGTAAGGGCTGGCTTCACAGCATATTCCTAAATGGCTCCAGAAGCAAATAAAATCTTCAGAACCCATTAATGGTGAAAACAGGAGACCTAGCTCCTCTACTGCACAATATATCATAGAGACATGACAGAAAATTGAAGTTTACAAATCTGCTAAAAGCTATCTATAGAACGGTGTTTGGGGCGTATCCTAAAGTTTGTGGAAGCTGTAGCTAGCAATTAGAGAGTTTAAATCACCTTCCTGAGTTCAAAAAACAATTCGCCATCACACTGAACCTTCCTTGGTAAAGTTTGTTTTGATAATAGCCAGTGTATATGTACTGTTACCTCTGTTATTATTTGGTTTAGTGGTCTTCATTGTTATTTTGACGTTCGATATTTCCTTTTAACTTGACCTAAGTCTACTTTCTCACCTCTCAACTCTTTGTTCATTCCATATATATTCCTATGACAAGTCCGTGTGTGATCAGATTGTTCGTAGTGTGTTGCGCAAGTACACATAACATGATTCTTATAAATTACGTCTTCTTATTGCTTTGTCTAAATTAATAAAGGGAACTAATTGTTTCAAACAGTGGTTGCCGTTTATTCACTTCGAATTTCATAAGACATTATTCACACAGCAGGCTGTAAGGTACACACTTCTTGTGTGTGTGTGTGTGTATGTATGTGTGTGGGAGCTGTTGATACTACTTAGTTGCTTGGGTTGAAGTAGAATGGATAGGATTCGAAAACAAAACCCTTTGGTCAGAATTTCACAAGCTAAGGTAATGTTCTAACTCACTTAGGCACTTAGACGTGTACAGTAATATAAAGACCAGTTACCTGATCATAATAATGCCGTTTTCCTCTTAGTCTGTGTTGGATCTATGAACAAGAACTATCCAAGCTTATGTACCATATCATCCTTCAAATACATCATAAAATTAGACCTGCATTATCAAGGTTTCTTGCAAACTGAGAGCTATAGAAATAAGAAGCAACAGGCTTACAATTAAACTCGTATGCCTTGATATAAAATACCTCTCACTCTCTCGCTCTTTGAATTATGATATAATCATTATTGATATTCATTTCAAGTCAAATATGTGACACCAGACGAATACTTTCATCCCATTCCGTTCTTTACCATCATTTTCGACTGACTCCATGACTCCTCGGAAGCTTTCATTTCCACTTTAAATGACCTTCTCCATGTATTCCTTAGTCGACTAACCCAGTGCTTCCGATTCGGGTTCTACTAATTTATTTTTTATTAGAACATAAACTTTGTAAACTAAAGACACCAACAGATGCACCACACAAATTTTCATATTTTGTGTGACAGCAGGGATAATGCTCGGATGCTCAGACCAAAACAGGTGGTCGTCTCAAGGGATCATTGCCTCCCCCACCGAGTCTTTGACCAGCGGACCAGCGTGAAGTATGGCGTTCACATGGTTTCTGGTGACCAAAACAGGTTCATACATTGCAGAATTAAGATCAGGGTTTTACAGCTTGCCTACGTAGACTAGCATGTCTACCAGTTCAGTTGAAAGCGTCAGACGTCTGCATTTTCACCTTTATGAGGAGCACCCGCATCACGTGGAGGCAGTCAATAGGACTTACCTGTGAGAGGCTACGAAACCATTTCAAGAGGAAGGCCAAAGTCTTCTCATCCTCGTGCGTACTACATCGTTTATAGGGGTCGCTTCTATTCAAGGGCCTAGTGTGTCGTGAAACTTCAACGCCTCCTCAGAGTATGTCTAATCCACCACCATTCCCTTCTGTATATTTGTTAGGAAAAAGGTTCCCTGGCTGGTTGGCTACCGCAGTTCATTGTTGCTGACCGGTGATGTGATCTTCAGTATGGAGCAAACATGTAGCTGTAGACAAAAGTCTGCAGGCTGTTTTAGATATGCAATTGGTGACGCGCTATTTTATTTTTGAAATGTTCGTTTAAACAGATTTCTTCGACATCAAGTTAGATCGCGAGCTGACATCAGTTAGGGAACCACTGAAAACCAGGAAATACTGAATAGAATGTTTCATCTTGGACTTAATCTCCGAAGAATAGGTACTTCTGAAAAGTACTACACCAGGACAAAACATTTTTACAGTACACTCTTCGTTTTCAACGGTTCTCTAACTGACTTGAAAAATCAACCAAATCCCAACAAACCAGCACTTGAATATCAATTTCTAGCTTACTGGTCATTGACTAAAGAATGAACTTGCCTGGAGTACTAGTGAGAAGTCATGTTCAACGGAGTCCATCAGGTTGAAGGTGAAGACCAATACTCGCCGATTACATAGACTGGCGATCGCACTATATACTCCCAAGTTCGTTGAGGTCACCACAATTCATGGACCACTACTGAACCCCGTGTCCCAGTAGCCGACTGACCACCAACCGGCTCACATGAAGGTCTCGGGTGCATATTACCGCAGGGCTCTGAACTAGGACAAAACAGCTGTACAGTACACCCTGGATCTCTGACTGAAATTGAGTTCATGGTCTAATTTACTGTATGCTAGTTGTTATTCAGAGGAAATCGTTGCCTATTTTTTTAAATTGACAGTATGATATCATTCTTAACAATACACTGTCTTTACATTCTATTTATAAAAATAAGGAGTTTATTGAAGGGTCGAAATGTATGTTATAAATTCATGAAATATAATGTACTCACTTGTTCATACCAACTGGAGAATGTTGATTCCTAAAATAGTAACAACAAGAACACGTTGTACATTATACATGCTCACTAACAAATTGTATACACACAAAAAAGCGACCATATAGCTCAGTGAAAACAAACTCATCAAAGAAAATAGGAAACTCTAGTGTTTTCCCCGCCTTGAAGTTATTTGGTGGATAGTGATTCGCCACGAAATCCTGGATGCGCCTGCATTCTCCAGTGAGTGATGGTGGTCCCATTCAGACTGGAACCCTGAACCCATCGATTCAGACACAAAAGGGTTAATCACTAGACAACTTCGGCGGCGAGATCTAAGGAATTTCAAACAGGGTAAGATACACATTCTACATTACATTGTTACTCACCGGCCATCTGATCACTTCAAGTTAGTCCCCAGATACCGTCAAAGTGTCCTTAATGGGAACCGACATGTCGAGACAGGCTGAACACTTCGGTCTAATTAGTGGTTTTGTAAACCCTCTAAAAAGCTTTCTCCAATTTCTCTTTTCGATAAGAACGAAAATCAATATTCAAGAGTCACAAATATTATGTGAGGACTAACAACACATACTAATCAGTCTCCTAAACTGAAAAAAATAAAGAATTTGAATCTGGGAACCACTGTCTACCAATAAAAAATACAACGCGTAAATTTCATTGGTTAATCTCAAGGTCAATAAGCATAGGCGTATCTGCCAATCAGATGACGTATTAACCTAACCGTCAAGCAAAAATAGCATGAAGACAAAAATAATATGGACAAATAACTTACAAGATAATGATAACTTGGAAAAAATGCCACAATCCCATCAGGAACAACAGAAGCAAGTTGAGCTAATAGTTGACCATAATTACGTACCACAGCTAAAAATAAGAAAGTTTAAAATAAAAAATAAAAGTAAGTAAATGATATTGAATTGTTTAATAAAATCTTCTAGGTAACTTGAAAATCCCCATTCAGTCATATAAAAGAAAAGAAGGCGTTCAGCGAAGAGACTCTTTTCGGCGAATTCATTCACTGAGCTGTACAATCGCATATTTATACAATTTTGTTTGTGTGTGTGTACATTAGATTTATAAAGTTTAGATAATTATGTAATATAAGTATTATTTGGCTTGGAGACAAACGTTAAGATGGAAAATAAAATAGAATTGATTAAGTGAATTGGATGACGTAATACAGTTGAGTAGAATTCAGATTAGGTCAGGTTGGCAACAGTGTTAATGAGTGGTGTTTAAAATCAAATAAGGGTGGGGTTAGAGAATAATACAGTTGAAAATAAGTAAGTTAATCGGATGACGTAACATAGTTGACTAGAAATTGGACGTGGGTCAAGTTAGTAACATTGTTAATGAGGGTAGAGATTACAAAAGGGTGGGGTAGAGAATAATATAAATGAAGATGTGAAATAATAAAATGCAAAAGACAAAATAATACAATTAGTAAGACTGAAATTAAGAAAGATTACGTCCATTGTAGATTTAATGAATGAACGAATTTCTTTTGTATGCAGAGTTCAGGATTTAGCAGATGAATTGCCATTGCTTCTGCGATGTGGAGAAGTTTGATCCGTACACTTTTAGCAAGATTGCCTTGTATTCTGTAGATAACTTTGAAGTTTATTTCTGGTTTGACTTGGTGTCCAGAGTCGATCAAATGTTCAAGGATCGAGCTGCGGGGGCATCGGTTTTCTCCTTTATAAAACCATGAAGGTAAATGTTCGTTGACGCGTTTGGATAGCGAACGCTGAGTACGGCCGATATACCTGGCTCCACACGAGCAGGTGAATTGGTAGATGCACATAGATGAGGCCAACAGCGGTAGCTTATCCTTCACGTTCATACGAATCATTGGTCTCGTGGAGAACGTCAGTCGTAATTCAGCTGCAAAGAAGGTTTTCTTCAATCTTCTAGGGACATAAATCTCCACTGAAATATCTATACAAACTCGAAATCTGAATATCAATCTCCAGTTGTTTAGTGGCTTCACGACTGTTGTTCTGAAGTTCCAATCATAATAATAAAAATAACATATGTACTAATGGACTTAACCCTGACTGAGTTCAGCCACTCAGAGATTGACTTGTTACCAGTAGGGAATAATCTCGTTGACTTAGAATATGCAGATGATATAGTCCTGACTCCTAGGTGAAGACGCTGATAAAATGGAGAGTTTTTGAACACCTTGAGGGGCAACAATATTGTAAAGTTTGGTATGCGGTTCGCTACCATCAAATGTAAGATCATGCTACAGAGGTGGACTAAATGGACTCCTAGCTTCGAAATAGGGAGTGAAGTGGTTGATGGAGCGTGTTGACCAATTCACTTATTTGCGAAGTTACATCAGCCAACGCCAACGGGTTGATCGCTGACGAAATGTCAGCACGGATACAGAGGGCTAGTTTCGAATACGCTAGTTTACGCCGTCTCTGGAGTAGACGTGATATCCGACTATCGACCAAAGGCCGTGTGCACTGCTCAGCAGTCAATTCACCCCGTCCTACTTTATGGCTGTGAGACCTGGCCATTGAAAGTGGAGGATATTAAAAGGCTAATTGTCTTTGATCATAGGTGCCTGCGTTATATCGCCCGTGTGAAGTGATATAATAGGGTGAGCAATATTGAGGTTAGGCCTCAGTCGAGTGCTGGGTAAGGAGAGGAAATCAATCGACGAGGCTGTGAAATTACATCGACTAAGATGGTTAGGACATGTGTTACGTATGCCTAGTCATCTCCTTCCTCGACAACGGGCAATGCTAGCTGACATAGGGCTAGGCTGGAAAAGAGCTAGCGCATGGTGATCAAACCAAAACATGACTTCATCAATCAATCAAATCCACAACAGTTAGTTTAAGCCTGCCACATAGGAAGGTGTAGACTTCCTGACTGGTTGAGGTCCTCGGGAAGTAAACACCAATGTTAGCTGGAAACAATTGGTGATATGGCTCGAAATCCTCGTTGTCAATAGCTGGCGCAGATGCATCCACTTCTTGTGAATCATAATTTCAATAAAACCATATTGCTCTTTGATATTACTATTCTTCTTGCCTCATATCTCTCTTTACAGTCTCTACTTTGCGTTTCTTTTTACTTTCTTCTCTGTCTTTATGCGCTGAGTAAAGTGTGGTGACTCGAACTGCTGCACACCGGTGCAAAGTTCTATGTTGAAACCAGCAGACAAACAGACGACCACTATTCCAGACTTATTTTTAGGTTGTTCATCAATATTTTACTGATGATAGCAGTGGCACTACGACTCTACCCACCGATGGCTTTAATGAGTCAACAAAGATTCTAAGCAATTCCAGAAATAAACATCGATTGAATTTCGACTGCTATAGCTGACAACAATCTACGTTGCTTGTGATCACGAGGCAACAGTTTATAAGAATCATTTAGGCAAAAATCAGTCAAGTTTGATCATGCATTGATGTCAGTTAGAGAAACAACCACTGAAAACCCCAAGGAGTAGTTGATAGTTGTTTCGACCTAGTTTGGGACTCTTTAGAAGTACGACCCCACCGGGGATCGGAGCAAAAACCTACAAATCACAAGACCAAGATCATTGGCCATTCAACGACTTGGGTCAAAATCATTCAGTCTAATATAAAAAACTTTGAATTACTCACATACTACATTCCTAATATGTGTAAGGCATCAAGAGAGCTTTGAAAGCTAATGAAAGATCATATCTCAGTTACCATCCCACACCCACATTCCTTCACGTTCCCAGTGAAAAATAGGGTTTCCAGCTAGAGGCTTGAAGTTTCTGTAGCAGTGTGTGTTTTTACAGGATGGGGTTGCTAGCCTCATGCCCCCACCCAACCTTTCCTCCTTACCAGCATTTTTTATTTCTGGCTTAACGAGGTAAAGGAGTGCGTCGGTGGCTGAGGATCGAACCCCCAACCATGTGCATCGTCGGTGAGCGTCCTAATCTCTGTGCCACCGACGCACCATACATCCAAAAAGAATTAATTACTTCTTAAATTACCTGAAGCAGAAAGAGCGGCAGTACTGCCTGACCATAGAGAGTTCAAGGTAAAAATTTTCAAAGATATTTAAATAAGACTTATCAGCCACTCAAATTCTGTGAGAGCTGATGATTTCCTACTTTCCAACTTAGTTAGCTAGCTAGCTTGCTACCCAGGTTGAAGTAGACGGAGAGAGATACAAACCAACGACCCATTTTATTCATTGGCAAGAAATCAAGTAGTTTTTAAGCCAACGAAAGATATCTTCACTGAGTGATATGAGTGATTAGACATCACATGATGTAAGTTGAATAGAATATTTTTTTATCATAGCTTCACTCCAAACAGTATTTTTGATTATCATTATTATTATTGTTCCCTTGGGTTCCTAGTGGAACATAGGGCTTCAACTGCACGTCTCCACTTGCTTCCGTCTTCTGATGTACCTTTCACCTGCATCCATGTTAGTCCATAGTGCTTCAACTCTTCTTCACACGATCGCCTCCATGTCACCCTTGGACGTCCTACTCGCCGCTTCCCTTTCGGGTTACACTCGAGCATTGGCATGACGCGCGATGTCACTCAGCGGCCTCCTCAGCGAGCGAGTGTCCAATCCATCTGCACTTTCTCCTGCATATTTGTTGAACGATTGGTTCTTGCTTTCTTTGTTCCCATAGTTTCTTGTTGGTGATTCTTTCCGGCGGCCATCTGATCTTCAGTATAGAGCGAAGACAGTTGTTGATAAAGATGTGCAACAGGCTGTTGGAAATATTCTTTGTGACACACTGGCCAAGTTTCTGCTCCGTATAGCAGAACTGACTAACTTGACGTTTGTATTGAAAATCCGAATTTTGTTGTTTATGCTGATTGACGAAGATTTCCAGATTGGTTTCAGGTTGATGAATGTGTTTCTCGCCTTCCCTTCCCGATTCTCGATTTGACATCCTCGTCCGTTCCACCTGCCTGTAGTTGAGACAATGCTCCCTAGATAAGTGAATGAAGTAACCTCTTTCAAATCCCTCCCGTTGATGGTGATTGGCGTTGGATGTTGTTGTTGGTTGGTTGATTATTTGCATAACCTCCGTCTTGTCTATGTTCACCTGGAGTCCTGTCTTCTCTGGCTGCTTCTTCAACCAGTTTGTCGGTTTTCGCTTGTAAGTCTTCGATTTTGTGTGACATCAAACATAAATCATCCACGCGCGAAGTCCACGTCTTCTAGGTTCTTCACGTCGGTCCAGTATATCCCTGTCTTCTCGTTTCCAACTGTCTGAGGCATAATCCAGTCCACCACAATTAGGAATACCGTTGGTGATAATAAATATAAGGTTGTATTTTTGATACAAGTATGGAATTTTCAGCATACGATATCGGTAGTCCAAATTTATCAGACCAACCATTGATTGATATCAGGTGTGCATCGGCCGAGGGATCGAATCCCAGACCATGTGCATGGTCAGCGAGCGTCCTAACTGCTGTACCACCAACGACACAATGTTATCTAACTTAATAGATATTATGATATTCAGGAGTAAGAAAAATATATAAACGCTTGTTTGGGTGTTTTGAATGCACTGAGAAATAATAACGATAGAGAACAAATACACTCATCAAAGTGCATTCGTTTTTACACGTTATCAATACAAATTTTACAAAAGTGCAACATTAAAAAAAAAAAGAAATCAGAAAAAATTAAATCAACAACTAAACAAATAAATGTAAATTATACAGATGAGAAAGTGCATCTGTGGTGTTGTTTTCTTTCCTTTACATTCCCAGTGGAACATAGTGCTTCAAGCTACAGTTCCGGAGTTTCGGTAGCAGTGGTGTTTATTTTCATGGGATGGGGTTGCTAGCCTCATGCCCCACAAAACTTTCCTCTTTACCAGTCTAATT